GTTGCTTCCATCCTGGACTTTAGCCCTCCTTGCCAAGCTTTCCCACAATGGTCATTCCTTATGTGGCTGTTTGTCAGCTTTCCGTGACTGTAACAAATACCAGAGATGATAAGCATATACGGAGAAAGGTTCACTTGTGTCACCATTTTGGAGGTTCCAGGCCATGCAAGTTTGATCTGCTGCTTTCACATCTCTGGTGGGCAGGCAGTGTGTTGTGGGAGCATGTGGCAGAGTAGAACTGCTTACCTCCTGGGCAGGACATGAAGAAGGAGGGGAAGTGGCTGGGGTCCCCTCCTGGGCCAGTGACCTGAAGGCCTCCGAGGAGGCTCCCTGTCCTGAAGGCTCCACACCTCCCCATGGTGCCATGCTGGGGACCAAGCCTTCAGCACACAGGCTTTGGGGGATGGTCCATGTCCAGGGGATAGCAGTGGCTCTACCTGGCTGTGGTCATGGAGAAAGCACTGCAGCAGCTGATACCATCTCCATCTACAAAGAGTCACGTCCAGGTTTATCATCACCCCCAAGCCCACTTCCTTGTCCTGTTTGGGTTCCTCTCACTCTTTGTCATAGCCGATTTAAATCCTGTTTTAAATGTAGCAGTGTTCTCAGCCACTCTGCAGGCCACACTTGCTTAAAGCCTTTTGCTGCTTCTAATGCCCCATTTTACCTGCTGCTGTTTGGGTTAGTCTCCCAGAGACCCTTGTCCGGTATTTGCCATTTCTGATTTGAGCCCTCATTTCAAACCTTCAGTCACACAGCATCATCTTCCGATGATGACTAATGCTCCCTGTGTACTTTGATCTCACCTCCCTTCTCATAGAACTCAGTTTCATGAATTTCTCAGCCTCTTTCTTGTGTCTTCCATCTCTTCCCCTCTGCTGGATGTGGAGCTCATTGTGCAGAAGAGAATGAGTTTCCCCTGTTCCTCAGCATGACAGATTTCCAGATTTCCACTCCATAGTTCTTGTTACCTGAAGACATAAAATCCAGCCTCTAAAGAGCTTTGCAAGAAGACTGCATTATCTGCCTCCAGAGTCTTTTTCTTCGAGCTATTACCCAAGTCTGCATCTTCCTATCATCATCAGATTTCTTCAACATGTGTGAAATCATCACACCAACCTAGTCATGAAAGCTGCAAACTTTTGCCACTCTTGCTTCCTCAGGCATATTCACCCAGAAATTGATCAATTCTGCGGCTGCTTCCTCCTGGCTGAGTGTCATCTTCCCTTCCATCCTTCTGTCACTGTCCTAGCTAATCAGGTTCCAGTGGCCTTCTTTTTCTGTCACCTATTTCTTTGTGTTTCCTTTTAGCTTGTCTCTGTTGCCACAGTGGTTTTACTGAGAAACAGACCTGGCTGTGTCCTGATCATACACTTTCTCTAATGAGCTGACTCTCACTATGCTAATGAAAACTGACCCCCTCCTCTGGGTACCCTTGATCTCCTTTGCTACATTCTACTCTTCCTTTGGTTTTTTGGTTTTCCCCCAGAACATGTACCTTCTAACATCCTCTATACTTAGCCTCAGTGTTTATTGACTGCCCTACCCCCCAGTGCAAGCTCCACAAGTCAGTATTTTTAATCTGTTTTGTTTATTCCTACAGCCTAAATTCCTAGTACAAAGTGAATGTCCAATATACATATTTATTGAATGTGATAATGTCAATTTCTCATTTCCAAATTGTCATCCGTTACTCTCTGCTAATAGGATAAAACCCAAATGCCTGCTAACTCCTGTCAAAAGCTGGGGTATGCTGCCTCCTGGCTCCTCCATCCACAGCTCTCTATGATGCACACGGCTCACTGGGTCCCTGGACGTTCCTAGACCTGCCATGCTCTTCCTGGCCTCTTGGGTCTGTTCCTTCTGCCAAGGGCCCATATCTGCCTCTTCTTCCTTTCACCAAACCCAGCCACACAGCACCTTTCAGGGGTCTGCTCCAACACTGAAGCAGAATCAGTGACTGTCTCCACTTCACCTCCATTGGGGTTTGCCTTATTGCCCCTTGTTGTGGTGTTTTACACACTGACCCTCCTCCTCCTTCTCCTCCTCCTCCTCCTCCTCCTCCTCCTCCTCTGTTTTCTCCATGAACGATCAGTATCTGACACAGAATTAAGTGGTCTCTCTGTGAAAAGAGAAGCTGCCAGTGCATTGAACCATGTAGAGATGGTCCCCAACTTATGGGGGTTCTAAGTAGGATCTGTCAGCTGTACAGTGGTGCCAAAATCATTTGCATTCAGTAGAAACCATACTTTGCATTTTGAATTTGGACTTTCCCCATGCTAGTGATATGTAGTCCACTGCTGTCTTGGATGCTGGGCAGTACAAGTGACCACAGCTCCTTGCCAGCCCCATTATCACAAGGGCTTACAACTTACACTCTGCAGTGTGCTCTTTTTCTAAGGTAGGGTGGGAGTAGTTCAGGGAGTTTCAGTGTGTTTTCCACACGGTATTTTCAGCTTCTGATGGGTTTATCAGGAGGTAACCAGGTGCTAACTCTAGAGCCATTTGTAGTCAAAGAGTCAAGTGTCATCTTCATTGGAATGTGTCCTATTTGTCACCATGTTCACCCACAAGCTTCTGCCTCACCCCATGTTCCTTGTCTTGATGAATAAAGGATGGCATTTCATCAGTGTGACTCTGGGAATTGGGAATGACCTAGTCTTTGTTCTTCAGGTCACTCAGTTGATCACTGAGTCTTACAATCAGACTTTCTGCCAACCCATCTGCCAACTCTATCCACTTCTTTTCAGTCCTGTTGCCAAGATCCTTTCCAGCTCATCCTCATCTGTCACCAACACATCTGCCACAGCACAGCGCCTGGCACATGATCAAGCTTCCACATATATATATATATATATATATTTTTTTTTACATGCATGATGTTTTATTCTTTGAAGAATGGTTCTAAAACATCACACTAAGGCTGAAAAACAAAGTTTGAGGTAAACAGTTTTGAGGATGAGTTATAATGCAGGTAATGCTTGTTCATTCTAAGGAATCCTGATCTTGGAGCTTATGATGTACGATTTGGCAGTAGCACCCACGTTTCCCAGAGCTGGTCATTATTTTTCTCCTGTTTGCATAGACTTCTTCTCATTAGCTGCCTTCTGCTTTTGTTGCATGATCTCAGAGTCCCTATAATGGGAGAAGAGAAAAACTCTGCTTTCTTTGAGAAGTAGTCAAGCTATCCTCTTTTCTTTTTCCCTTGCTAATTCCTTGGGTTTTCTTCATATTCTTCTGTCGGGCAAGTTCTTGTTGATTACCATGGGCCATGCCAACTGCCCGGTGGAACCTAGAGGAGAGCGACTCAGAAAAGCAACAGTTCCCTCGCATGGCCAGCGGCCACCGCCACCGTCAATCTGGAAGGCAGAGCCCTCAGCAGGGCGACACCTCTGCTCTCCAGGACTCTATATTTGCAAAAGTCTGGGTGATTTTTCTGAAGGTCATTGTTTAAGGACAAATACAGTGGTTTGGATTTGCTGCAGCTTTTCGTGTAATTTTGCTTTCTGGAAAATTGAGTACTTTCTATCCCTGCAATCCTGCCAGGGAAATTATTCTCTCTGATTATTCTCATCTTAGAAATTCAAGTTGGGGTATATTTAGCTCAGTGGAATATATAAATACTCATATAACTTAGAAAAGCGTATTTTATTCTATCTGGAGAAAAGAGGTTGGGACAGTTGTGGCCTTTAAGAAAGGGTCCAGAAGAGTTTCTTAAAAAAGATTGAAAGTCTCATGATACTTCTGTTAGCTTTCTGTTACTGTAACAAAATACCTGAGATGATCAATTTATAAAGAAGAAAGATTTGTTTCACTGGTTTCAGTCCATGGTTGATTGGTCCCATTGTTTTGGGCTTCTGGTGAGGCAGCACATCATGGCAGGGAAGGTGGCACATCATGGCAGGGAACCTGGTGAACAAACTGCTCACCTCGTGGAAAGGAAGCAAAAGGGAGAGAGGAACAGGAAGAAACCAAGGTCCCATCATCCCCTTCGAGGACATGTGCCCAGTGACTTAGGACCTTTCATTGGTTGCCACTTAGAGTTCTACCACCCTCCAAGAGTGTCACAGGCTGGGAACCAAGCCCTTAACACATCCCTTTGGGGGAACCTTGCAGATCCAAATGATAGCAATCTGCAAATGTTCAGTTACTGGCATTCGACTAGATATTCCCTAAAGATATTCCTAGCTCTCGATACCTAGCAATTATTTTTTAAAGCAAAACTCCAGGAGAAAAAAAATATGTAGAGGAAGTAAGGCAGTTGTAAAGATCTAATGGAAGAGTGAGTAATTCTGAAACCAGCTCAGTACCTGGAGGTCAAATCGGGTCGTCCACGCATATTAGTGTCCCGAGGTCTGGGTAAGGCAGGGCAGTAGGAAGTGGAGAGCAGTGGGTGGTGGAGACCACGAGATTGGAATTGGCACTTGGTACATGCTTTCTTCCTCCTTTATTTCTCAGCTGACAGTGCTGTAGTGGTTGCCCATGCCAACTTAATTGAGAAATTGCTGGGCCAGTAGTTAGACTGTCACTCGAATCTCCCCATGGCCTTTCCCTCCCTGTTGAAGCATCTCTCGTGCATCTGGAGAGGCTTTGTCTCCCTCTTCCTCCCATCTAAGTGAAGGCTGAGCAGATTCGCTTGGGGCAGCTGGGCACAGGGGTGGATTCCTGTAGTGCCAGCTACAGGAGGCCTAGGCAGGGGGCTCACTGGACCCAGTGAGTCTGGCACCACCCTGGGCAACTGTAGCGAGACACTGTTTCTTTAAATAAATTTGGTTGGGAATGGGGTGTTGTGAATGCCGGGTCTGGGCTGTCTGTCCCAGCCTTTCGAACACTTCTAACACTTTGGTGTGCCTTCCATTCCGAAGGCAAGTGGAGCTCCCATCACATGGTAACTGTTATCTGTAACCATGGAAAACACTGGCCATCTGTGAGGCTCCCATTTTAACACTTTTTCCCCTCTCCTCTTTATTTCCACCTCTTTTCTTCTTGGGGAAAATAAGCTGAGGAAGTGGAGAGGCTGGCGGCTATGCGTTCTGACTCCCTCGTGCCGGGTACCCACACCCCACCCATCCGGAGGAGAAGTAAGTTTGCCAACCTGGGAAGGATTTTCAAGCCTTGGAAATGGAGGAAGAAGAAAAGTGAAAAGTTCAAACACACATCAGCAGGTAAGGTGACGGCTTCCTTCATTCCTCATTGGGTATTAGTTGAATTCAACTCCGTATCTTAATTGGCAGAATTTAATTACCATAACCTTCTAAACCAAGGGAAGAACTCAAGCCTTGGAATTCTCCTGTCTTTAATAATTCCTCAGTATGATTGAGAATTTTATAGCCCCTGTGGTTTTCTCATATCTCAGGGTTGGTTCCTTTGTTATTATTTTTTAATTTCAAAGCCACCATTTTATTTGCTCTATAAGTAATTTGAACTTGGATGCTTTCATTCTTGCATTGACAATCCATTTTTTATTTTCACTGCTCCAGTAAAAGTCAACACACAGCAGAAAATGAGTTACGTATGGTCGTTGGCAGATGAGAATAGGTTATTTCGTGGGGGAAAAGTCTTGAGTAAACGTTTCCTGGACAAGGCAGGACAGCAGGAATGGAAATGAATCATCACTGGAGGGACAAGCATAACTATACAGTTCACAGCTCAGCGACAGCAAGGGGGGGTGCAGGGCAGCAGAGCTGGGAGATAGTAGGTCCTTGGGTCACTGTGCCTCACCCAGCTCTGCTCCGGCTGAATATGAGCTCGCTTTGCTTACTTAACTTTGTAACTCAGCTTCCTCATCTGTACATGAGTAAGTATTGAGGAGACTTTGTGTGACAGCACAGGTGGATATCTTCAGATAAGTAAAGGGATGGAGAGAGAGGTGTATAGAAAAAAGCTTTTGTTTCATCATGTTGGGTTTGAGATGAGATGGTAACAAAGCTATCCAGGTTCATTTCATTTTTGTCTTAGTCTGCTTGAGCTTGCTGTGACAAAATAACATACACTGGGTATTTTAAATAAGAGAAATTTACTTCTCACAATTTTGGAGACTGGGAGTTTTATTCTGGGATCTCTGGTCTTAGCTGGTAGGTGGCTGCCATCTTACTGCCTACTCACATGGGGTGTGTGTGTGTGTGTGTGTGTGTGTGTGTGTGTGTGTGAGAGAGAGAGAGAGAGAGAGAGAGAGGAGATGAAAGAGGATGCCCTCTAAATTCTCTTCTGGTAAGGGCAATAATCCTATCACAAGAACCCCATCTTCTTGACTTCATGAACCCTAATTACTTCCCCAAAGCCCCATCTCCAGATTTCATCACAGTGGGACTTAGCACTGGGACTTCAGACTTCAACTGTGAGCTTGGGAAGGGCACCAGTTAGTCCATAGCACTACATTTCTAGTTATGTACCCAGTTTCTCCTCAGACATACTTCAAGGCTTTCATTTCCTTTTTCCTCTACATCCCCAGAAACTCAACCTGCTTTCTTTCCTCCTCAGAACCTCCTCTATCTATTGGATTTCTGCTCCCTTGGCCTTGTCCCCAAATTAACTCTGAAATGGGAGACTCTCCACTTTTTGTTCCCGAACATCAGTCCACAGACCCAAGAATCTTCACACCAATCACTTTGGGGAAGGAAAGAAGTTGATGGACATGGAAAAGTCTAGGCAAAAAGTTACAGACATTCTTAAAATCTTCAACAGGTCCCACGGTAGACACTCTTAGTTTGTATTTTCTGACACTGTTTCTTAGAAGCTCCAATGCCCTGTAGCTATGATTTCTTAATTCTTGAGGTAAGAGTGACCCCCTGGCTTCCTAAATGTCTAAATCATGGCCCCTCTGACCAAGTCCCTTCACCCTGGCTCTGTGTCCTTTACTCTCTTTGCACAGATTGCTTAGGGGGCGATGCAGGTCACTTGTGATTTCCTAAAAGCCACTGAGTGACTTACAGGTGAGTAGAGCTCTGGATGGGCATCCCCCACGGACTGAGGGGAGAGAAAAAGGGCAGCTATGTTGTTGAATAAATAAGCACCAAACTGCAGGCAGAGAGCAGGAATGAGTGCTCTTGTCCTACAGCACTGCGAGGGGGCTGTAGCTCAACGTTTATAATGCATTATATAAAACTAGACAAGAGGAGCAAAGCTCCCCAACACACAGAAATGATAAGTGTTTAAGGAGAAAGAAATGCTAATTACTTCCTTTTGATCTTACATTTTATGTACGTGGATCAGATTATCACACTGTACCCCATAAACACATACAATTATGTGTCCATTATAAAAAAATTAAATGACATCTAAATGAAATGAATTTATAGACAAGGGCAGGTGTAAGACATATGGTAGAAGGGCTTTCTAAGTACTGAAAAGAAATCCCACCTGGCTTTGCTATGCAAAATGGTTTGTAATAACACACACATTTAAATAACACACATATTTGTAACAAACAGACATTTAAATAATTGCCATTTGTTGGCATGCATCGCTGAATGCTAGGGTGGGGTGGTAGATAAATGGGGCTTTGATTAATACCTTTAGCAAGGCTATAGGCAAAGCCCCAGTCCCTCTCCTCTGACTGATTATGGTGACATCTTCAAGACACTGGAAAACTTGTCCTTTTGATAGATGCACATACAAAGGCATTGAATTACTCAGGAATCATTAAAAAGCTGAAAACTTTTCATTCTTTTAGAAGAAAGAATCCAAACATGTGACAAAGCTGCTAACTTTAAATCATTCTCATTCTACTCCTGGCAAGTTTTGTGATGAGCATAGCCAAGCTGATTAACTTGACAGCCGAATGTGATATTTATATGTAATTTTTGTTTGAGTTTATTAAGAAGCATTGCTTCTGAACTAGAGAACATAGAGGATACACTGTAGAATATCTTGGTATCATGATAGGTGGATGGATACATCATATAACCGAAGTTATTCTAGTTAAAAATGTTCAGTGTTTTACCTCGTAGCATCTTTTCTTAACTGGATTCCAAACTTTTATTTATTAGTTTTTCAAAGGAGAGACTTTCTGAGCCAGTTATTAACCCAAAAGAGAAATGTGACAACCTGAGGATGTCAACATGATAAATTTATGTAGGTTTAAATAATACTTTAAAGTAAGAATTTTCTTATGTGTGGATGAGTCACATATACAAATACAAAAGGATTGATTTATTGTGGAAATGCTAATTGGGTGGCCAGTTTTAGCTAGCATGCATATATTTGTCTTGTATCTGTGTTGATAACAAATTATTCAGGGATGCTTGTTGAAGATAGAAAGTGTGACTTTATTCAGGACCATCACAGTGGGAGTTCAGAGGAACCCAAGAAGAGTTTGGTTAATAAGGAAATCTTTGGGTCGAGGATTTATCTCAGTGGCACCATGCCCGCCTCGCAAGTGCGAGGTCCTGAGTCCGAACCCCGGTACCAAAAAAAAAAAAAAAGAAAATCTTTGTCAGTATATATCCTTTCATATGGACAATAATGTCCACAATTTTAAATCCAAAGAATAAGATCACATATTAACTTTATGTTGTTAAAATTGTGTACTTTGGGCCAGGGATTTAGCTCAGTGGTTCTGCCACCCACCTCATAAGCACAAGGTCCTGAGTTCGATCCCCAGTTCCAAAAAAAAAAAAAAATTGTATACTTTGTCGAACACACAGAAGGACATCATCACAATGCATAGTTGGCCTATTATAATGTCCACATCTGTAATTTGCTGTACTTAGCTCCACTAGAGTTTTACTGTAACTCAAGTTCCAAGAGAGTATCTGTGCATACAGCACCTTCAAAGGTAGCCTTGGAAATACCACTTGTAAGTTGTATAACAAGGAAACTGCATCCAAAATTATGCTCTAAACATTTTGGTCAGTTTTGACATCAGTAGTGATGTGAATCTTTCTAAGTCAGATCACCACATCTCATGCTCTGCACACATCCTGCATGTTGTGAGCTGAAGGTTCATGTCCTCAAAAGCCATTGAGCATTAAGACCCAGAGGCTGGGCTGGGGTGTAGCTCAGCCATAGAGCACTTGTCTAGAGGCCCTGAATTCCATCCCCAGCACCAAAGGCTCAGTAGTAACAGTGAGACCCAGAGTCAGGGCTCAGCTGATGGTGAGGACAGGCCTCTTGGAAGCACTGCTGTAAGATCCTGACATAAGAAGTCCTCAGGGAGAGGAGCCTGGTGTTGTTCCAGCTGCCCAGGGCCTCCAGGCAATTAGCCAGATTTCCCCAGCATCTCAGGGGAATCGGTGACAGCTGCCCTCAGCGTGCACCCCTGAGCGGGAATGGAGACAAATGATTGCATCTTCTCTGAAACAGGCAGACAGCGCGTCCCCACACAGTTCACTGCAGGGATTTTATCCAAAGTCCCGAGAGACAGGAACTGTATTTTGGGAAGATGGGACTGGGAGGACTCATCTGTGACGGGACCACTGAGTTCTGCTTTTAGTTCATCTTAATATAAAATTATAAGCCACAAGCATTGGCCCTGGAAATCTCCAGTGCCCAGCAATTCCCTTTGTGCTTCTAAGATTTTCTACACACTCAGGGTCTGGGGAGGGAAAATAGGAATAACTTCTACCGAGTGCCCACCATGTGCTGAGATGTCCTTGGCTCTGGGGACATAATTGAGAGCTGCACTAGACGTTGTTGGTGACCTCATAGCATGCACAATATAAAGGAAGAGGCAGAGCATCAAATCACAAAGGAAAGGTGAGATCACACCTGTGACCGGCCAGGGAAGAAAAGGCACTTGGGAGAGTGAGAGGGGACATGGCCTTATGAGTCAGGAAGACTTTCCTGAGGAAGACAGCATGACTGGGGTCTTGAGGGAAGGGTGGGAAAGCAGGAAATGAGTACTCCAAGTGGTATAAACAGCATGTGCAAAGGCCCTGTAGTAGAAGAAATAGGAGTGAGCATCTGGGAAAGGAAGAAAGGCCAGTGGCTACAGAGTGGAAGCTGAGAGTGTGGTATGGGCTAAGGCTAGAGAGATAAGCACCGATTGGAGCCTCGCTGGCCCTGCATCACGTAGAATGTAGTAAACAGCATGAGGAACAAACCGGTTAGGAGGCCACTGTGCAGTTGAGAGGAGGTTGAGCTAATATGTTGGGATGGGAAAGATGGATTTGGGAGATTTTATAAGAAATAAACGACAGGATTTAGTGACAGATCATACATGAGA